CTCTTCGCGCCGCCCGCCTTGGACACCGCCGTGAACCGGAGTTCTGCAGGGTGTAATCAATCATCGTTCTCGAATTGTCGTTTATAACCACTCCGACGAGAGAACGGTATTAACACGACGAGTTTCTCTCGTCTCTCCGTACGTACGCGCGTACAACATACGCGCGCGCCCTCTCGGTCCTTTGGCATGTAAAACACAATAATGGCTTTGTTATCCCTTGCCGCGTGACGCACACCCACCCGAAAATCGTCTCCGTACTTGTCACTCTACATTATACGGAAATAGGTGTGTTCGTTTTTCGAATACATATATATATATATATAAATCCTGTCGAAAAACATATGCGAGTACATAAAGAAAAGGATTTTCCCGGATCACACGGAGTTCATCTCGACCGCAATGGTTAAATTCAAATTTGATACACGCGTATAATATAAATTCGAACGTGTACCACCCATGCACTGTTATTGAGCAAACGAAATCGGATACGTTATGTGTACGTTCCGGCACTCTGGGAATTCTTATTTTCGGCGTCCGATTCCATAAGTCGTTCGTGTAGTTATTGCTTTTGAATACGCACCAAGTATAGTACACATGACCGTATAACTTCAGTACAAATAATAACAAATTATTAATCCAATTCATTGGTCATAAGCTATATACATGCGCTGTGTGTTCTAAATATTTCGTCCTAGTCCCGAAAGTTGTTTGTTCGTTGTTAAATGTTTGTTCGCGCATATAATTCCTATTTGTAAATCAAATATTTTAATAACGATTGTTAACAATCGTGTACTGCAGCATAATCATTTATAATAATTATGTATAATATGGAATATAATGTTCATTGTATAATGTAATTTAACGTTTGATGGTATCTTTTTACGACGAACATTTATTAATATAAATATAAAGTATGATAGATAATTGAAACACAAATCTTTTTCAATAAAAAAATCATTTTATTCCATATAGTTTTTTTTATAATTATAGATGTACATAAATATAATATAACAATATATTTCATGGAATTTTATTTTCACGATGCATTAAATATTTATTATTTTGAATTATTTATTTCCCATTTTTTATTTTTAGACTATATATGCGCTAATATCAATATTTTTAATTACAACAGTTTTGACTAAAATATTAGTTTTATTTTCTATCCAAATAGAAATTTAATTTCTCTAAATTCATAAACACTTTGAAAATTTAAAATGATAAATTACTATCACAAACAACCTCAGTTATGTTGTTCATAATATATTTTCAATTAACACTATTAACGAAATGAAATTGCATCGATTGTTAGTACAACTAAAAATATTTTATCGTCAAGTACAGATATAAATAATGAGATAATTGAACACTCTTCTATTGTGTTCATTTATTATGAATCACTAAACTATGACATTTTTAATATGAAAATACTTATGCTTTTATAAATTATTTTATCTTCAATATATCCATATTTAATCATGAGATGTTAAAAATGGTAATCTTATACGCCGACACATATAATAGTATAAAATAAAACAATAATAATAATAATATATTAATATTAAACGAGTTGATAACATTTATTGAACTAGTTATATAAATATATATTAGAGATTCAACCCACGTAGTGAACTCTTGTAAGTATGGCTGAGTGGGTTTTGAAACACTATATTTTACATTCCTCTCCAAACGTGTTTTATTATTTTGTTTGTATATTTTATATAGATTATATGTCTCTAACAAATATATTATTTTTTTGTTTAAATTTCAAAACATATTATGATATTTATATAATTACATATATATTTTTGTTTGTACATAAGTGTTGTAAGGTTTTTAAAGGCAATTAATGAATATTAAAAGAATACTGTTTCATTTCAAAAGTAATTAATTGTTCGAGTAAATATGATTATGTTTACCTTAAAATATATCATATCATGTTACAAAATACACTACTGTTAAATTAAGGTATAGTTTTAATTAATACTGAAAACATATTTTATTCTAAATATTTTTGCAAAAATTTTTATTTTATAATTTTTCAAAGTAGTTTTTTGTTAAAATAATGATAAATTTTAGGTATATTAATGGTCTACTAAATGTAATTAGTATAATAATTAATAAATTGTAATTAATAAATTTATTCATTACTAAATATTTTTTTAATACTAAATCTGTTTCAACGTACTTTCCAACTGTCTTCGAATATTTTTTGTGTATATTGTGTATATTTTTAAAATTTTAAAGAATTGAATATGTATTAGAGTAATTCAACAGTTAAATGAATCTACACTAAAAATTTACTCGTATCTTTACGATTAAATTCCAACATATTTTTATACAAATTACAATTATATCCCACTGTATACCGAGTTCTAACATTAAACTAAATGAGATTATCATCACATTTCAGCGTACCCTTTGATCATTTTAATTGGCCCAATATATTATTTAACGTGTACATTATAGTAGTTTTTTGCTGACAGCAATGCCTAGTCGGCAAATATAAGGTAAACCTAAAGTTGGCGACTAGAATCTCAAATTTTCGACACAAACATTTTCCCCGACCGACTGTCAATCAAATTAATTTTCCTATTAAAAATAATACCGTTTTCTCGATGATTCGACAATATTCTGCCTGGAAAAAAGACATTTGTCATCCTCTTTCCACCGCTAGAACCAAGAGGAGCTTATAAAATATATGCTATCCGTCAAGATCGAAGGAACTGGCGGAATAAATCCTATTATTTGTAGACCGATATAAGTAATCCGACATGGCAGCCCAGGATCCTTCACTGTCTTCCCAATCTACCCCCTCTAATGACATATCGTATACTTTTTATTCCTGTTCTTCTTTCTCCTTCCACCAGATACACATACACATACCAATGTCTACTTACTGAAATCCATTGGTCACAATGTGACCACTGAACACACGATACTGGGTTAGGTTGAATCCGGTGAATACCAATACCTCCCAGCCATCCCTCGTCATCATCCTGTGTAATATAGTGTGTCTTCTCTGAATCCGTCAAGGTATACTGGTTGTTTGCTTGTCATTTCAATGGCCAAAATAAATAAAATTAAAATAGTCTCTTATGTACAAACCCCCGTTTCAACAAAAGGTTGAAAAATCCTTATTATTAAAAATCAATAAAGATAGGTACATTGCAGATGACAGCCAGTACAGATTATTACACGAATAATGTAAATATTTTCTCTTCAATTCCTCAGACCAAACTTTGTGTAACCAAACAACGCTCAACATCGTATTATTACTATTATTATTATTTTTTTTTTTTTCCATAAACATTAATAAATGGTACTTTAAAATAGTTTTTAAAGAAAATTATACATTTTTTTTTTTATTAATCAAACAAAAATATTTATAGCAGTGTATTTTTTATACTATTTTTACCATCTAAAACGAAAATGGTGTAATCCATGAAAATTGAATTTCAATAAAGTTATTGAAATTATTATTTTTTTTCAGATTCGCTCTATTCAATGTATAACTTGTCAACAGTTTAGAATACATGAAATAACATTATAACATTTTAAATGAATAAACTCTTCGCGTGGTATAAAATATTTAATAAATATATTCACTATGATGATAATTTTATAATCTTTTTTAGTGACTATTAACATTAAATTTCGAACATCAGTCTCAGAACATTTTATTGGGTATAACATTTGATTATTTATTTTAACACATAATGTGTTTCATTTAAAAAATTATATTGTTTTGCCATTTCAAATATTATAGTTTATATTCACTTGACGTATCCTTTGTAATTAATTAAATTATTCATTTAACTTCATTCAAATTTATCGTGTTATTTTTTTAAAATTGTGGACACTCAAATGTTCGATTACAAAAAAGTAATTATTTTGATTTATTATTATGATCATATCTGTGCAATTTTATCGTAATCTGTTGGGTCGTTTTAAAAAACTAATATTGTATTTCTATTATTCCTAAAAATACATTATTCGTTGGGCTTTAAGATTTGGCAAATTATGTTTTGTTTTTATCCCCAAATACAGTGAGTTAAAAATATCAAGATCGGTTGAAGAGTCTATAAAACTCTAATGGTGATTCGGCTAATCTTATAAAATACTGATGCTAAATCGACAACTCTGAGTCATAACATTCTTCTAATTAATTCAATATTTTGGTTTTATTTGATAGTGATTATATTTCATGTATAATTTTTTATATTTTATGTTTTTGTACATTTACATTCCAAAATATTGTTAATCACTAACATCAAATCACCTGGATATTAACAATAAAGAAGTATTTCCAAAAATAATATTTGATTTTTTTATATTATCATTTTCATTCATCTTGTTAAATTATTTCTTTGGGTTATAATCTTGTGAATGAGAAAATATACATTTGTAGATTTATAAGCTATCAACTATTCCGTATACCGAGGTACCTTATTACAATTTTTATACTACTAGCAATATTGTGTGTAAATATATAATTTTTCTTAATTTCCATAAAGCCACTTTAATTTTACGTTTTTAATGATTTTCATCTGGTCCGAACAAGTTAAAAACAAATTAAAATACAACATGATTATAAAAACTCTTTTACGTATCATAAGTGAATAAATAAATAAATACAATTATTTAACTATTCTCTGGAGATTAAATTCAAATAAACAAACTCGTTTTAATTATAATTAAAATGAAACTGATCTATTTCCATTAATTTTTCCTTTTTTAATATACCTACAAGAACCTTTTTACACGTTTCTATAAACAAAAAAAACACAAATTATAAAAATTAAGAATAATTATGTCTAATTATCCACGAATCCCTGGAATGTATCACAAAAAAAAATTAAAATATAAATCAAACAATATATTATTCTTTTTAAATTATACTTCATATAAAGTACAAGGTTTTTATGGTGAATATTATAATTCATTTAATTTATGTGTGCAGATTTAATAAAAATGTGCTTGCTTTTGTTTTATTACAGACAATTACTAGCACCGAATTTAGTACAGAAACATTTTTTACCTCATGGAGCTGAACAGGTTTCCAAACAAGTAAGTACTATTATTGTTATTTATAAATGTTGCACAACATGAATCTTAATTAAAATGACTGCATTAATTTCATCGTAAAATGTTTTTGAGAGCGATTACAATTATTTTTGACATAATTTAATTATGCTTAATATTTAGAAGCGTTTTTAAAATGCACGATATGACGTAAATGAAATACGGATGAGAAAAAAGATCTTATATTTTGAAGTATTTGTCAAAACATAGAACAAAATAAATAACATTGTTTTGTTTTAAACCTATCGTAAATAAAAATTTTATTGTTCAACAAAAGCCATTGAACTTGGTAATATTTATTACGATTCATTAAAAAATATTTTTAAACCTTGGGAGTATAGTTTGAAAATTAAAGGTGATGATATAAGACTTGGTTTTCTATAGTTTTTTCAATCCCCAAACCATAGATCATAAAATGTTTATAAAAACAAATCAATACCGTTTTAACATCATAATTACGTTATATTGCTGTTAAACCGTTGGTAGAATATTACTTACAACACATTGCGTGGTCCTTTTTGTAATGAAGTCATATTGTGTTTTCAACGTGAACATAATTTTTACCATTCTTCCTAGGAAATTGAACATTGTTACTATCACGGGACCGTGAAAGATATACCTGGCGCCACGGCTGCGTTTCATACGTGCAACGGAGTAGCCGGAGTCATACACATTGGCAATGAAACATTCATCATTCATCCATTTTACGGCGGAGACTTGTCGGTCGGTATTGCTTAAAATGTTTTAAAACTACCTATGTGCATGGTTAACGTGTAAAGTTTCATAATAAAGTGTAATCATAATTGATATAATTGTAATATATAGATAGTCCAGAGATCAGGGATTATTTTATTCGCCGAACGTGCCAATTCGTACTACACAAGCCAAAAAAAAAAAAGAAATTTTTTTACATCACACCATTAACATTGTACCATACCATGTTCTTAAAATCATAAAAATTGGTTTCATTTAAATAACAGTTTTTTTGCTTTTCAAATAAATTTTTAACTATATTTACTTAGTTGAACAATATTCAAATTTTGTCTCAAGGCTGTGAACAAAGCTATTCAAAACGTTTGACGAAAACTTTTAATGACCATTCTATAATATTCTATAAGAACAAGGTTGAGTTCATAGTTATTATTACTTCAATAATTTATATAAAATATAGTATATATTTAGCCAAATGCTATTTATTCATGCACTTAAAAACGCAGTTGGTTTATTGAACTACTAATCGATTATTAATTATTAATTAATTATTAAAACAATTCATAATAACATAATTATTATTATTATTATTTACAAATACATTATTACCCGGAGTACTCAATAGGCAATTTCGATGCATTCGTGTAATCATTAACATTTCAAGTATTTTCGAATGATTTGAAAATATTCATTCATTGATTATAGTATTATGATAGCGTTGTTCTATGAAACATTATTGTAAACGAACAAAAATTCATCAATTAGTTAATTGTGTTCGTATAAAATAGATAGTAAAACACTTCATTATAGCATTCTTAATGCTATTTTAAGGTGTTAAAGTTTTTTAATCCATATATATTGAACTTGTTCCTGTTAATTCAGTGGTAATTTCAGTAGATGATTTGAATCATCGATTATTAATGATTACAAAAAAATTAAATAATACTATCATATGGAGCGTTACATCAATAGTTTTAATACTTTCGTGTACATTTATAACTCAAACATTTTATGTTAGTAATAAGACTTCGTAGTGCACAGTAAATGTTGTTTTTATTGAATAAAATGTTATTCGAAACCAGTACAACCATAACGAAACTGAATAAGAGATTTTCTTGACTAGTTTTTCGTGTTGGTGTGAAATAGATATAGTACTTCATAAGAAAAATGAACGTGCCAGGTGATAACTGTAAATTCCAGAATCATGAAATGTTTTGCTTTTAGAAAGTGGCCTCGGTATCAGTATCTTTTTTCCCGGAGGAAATCTGTAGACCATTGTACTCGCAGTATACCCAATTCCATTAATCATGACTACTGACAGTCTCCGTGGGAATAAAACATTCCATGGTTGATATATATATATATATATATAATTATATATATATATATATATATATATATATATATATGTATATGTGCGAAATGTGCATATGTATTAAATAAATGACCAAATAGATAGTGACAAAAGACTGCAGATATATTAGTTGATTGCAGTTGATTTGACATGTTATAATAATGCCCATCTTAATCATGAAAACTGTAAAAGATAACAGAATTTATTTCAACGCCATATTACTTTGTTACTAATAAAATATACGTATGCATATTTATAAACACATACTAATATATAAACAAATAAATGCATAGCGTGTTGTGTTATTATATTCATCATGTACTAAATGCACAATGTTAAAAATTTGCTAGAACAACTACTATACTATATTAAATATTAATCGTCTTCTAACGACATCCATAAATATAATATAATTATTTTTTTTCTTCAAAAATTTTTCATAATGACGTTATATTTTATTTGAATAGTATTATCTTGAATCTACTTAATCAACTGTCGAAAAATTATTATTTAATTTTATTCTTTGCTAATTTAAGAATGATTAATCTCTATTAGTTTTATAATATATTTAAAGTATAGAATTTAATTCTACAAATCAAATTAATATTTGTTGATGATGAGTTATTTTTACTTAAATAGCATGATATTTTCCACCAATTCCTAAAAAAGTCGATTTATTTATAAATTATAATAAAGACATGCAATAACATAATTATAATAGCTGAATAACATTAATTATTACGAAATATACGAGTATACATTTGTTATTGTAGACTATTATATAGGAATTACATGTTATTATTATTGTTATTATATCACTTAAATGCAAATTTAAACAGATTTTTAATTCATTCTTATGAACATACACCTTAAGTAAGACTAAATTATTGGACAAAAGAATAATTAAATTTGATCGTGATACAATAAAACTTAAATGGACAGGAGATTATAAATATGCATAAGTAAAACGATTACTCAAATACTACAAACGACAAAATGGAAATAGGCTACCCTACAGTTACTGTTTGATATCCACTTCACTTGGATACAACGACAGAAGCTGCAAAAGAAGTTTTTGACAGTTCCAATTTTAGAACTACAAACTTGGGAACGGAAAGAGAAACCTCAGAATAAAATCACTCTAGTATAACTTAAAGCCAATATGAAACTCCGGTCCTTTCTCTACACGACTCCATCAAAACTCTCACGTCTTGTATATGAGTTAGTCAAAAACACGATGTTTGTACGTTGAATTCTCAGAATAAGGGAGCCGAATAATAATAATAATAATAATAATAACTCATTTGATTGCCTTTTTGTGGCTTAAAGAAATTATTTAAGCACTCATAGAACGATTTTGCTCTTAATCAATATTAATAATAGATTTATGGTTAGCAGAAACACCCTCATGTGATATTTGAGGCGCGGGACAAGGCCAAACGTGGATGTGCCAATGATTTGCGATTAGATAGGAAGAGTAAATACACCAATGGTTTCACTGGGCGATTCCGGAAAAAACGACGGCTAAAACGGGACGTCCGCGAAGTTACCAAGTACATAGAGACCGCTCTTGTTTTAGACAAGGCTATGGTAAATTATTTTTTTTAAGAAATGTATAGTTTAAATATAATTATTTAATTAACGTTTGTGATTACGTTTAAGTTTGAAATGAGAAATGGCAGTACCAGATCCGAAGTAATCACTGATGCCATTCAAATTGCGAACATAGCCGATTTGGTGAGTTTTTTTACACAGTGTACCTGTAAACGAAGATTGCCTGTCAAATATTTTAAAATATTTTATTAATTTAATTATTTCAAACCTTTTTCTTTCAATTTCTAACTTTTTTTTAAAAAATAAGGTCGTTAACAATTCATTATGTTCTCAATTATGTTAATATTATTTATCTTAGTGTATAAATGAGCACATTGTTGTCTCATCAATAAAATACAGTTATGTCTAATTCATAAATCTGTATGTTTTTTTATTATATTCTTTCAACGATAAATAAGTTATAACTTTGAATTTAGTCCATGTATTATTCTTTTTAGACCATAATTTTTTAAGTGGTTCTTTTTGTACAATATATTTTGATTGGATCTTAATTTTAATAATATAACACATATCCGATACATATTGTTATTTATACCTCATACAAATATTTTATTAAAATCGAAATCGTTTTTACTTCATAAAATGTATAACGCATATGTTTATTTTATCATAAGCACATTTATTGAGTTTAAATCCGTGCATATAGTTAAAAATAAATTAACGTTTTTTCAGTGAATTTCTCTACAAAAAACTCTCATAGTAATAAATGGTGCCATTAGCTAAAATGTCTACCTACATAATATTGTAAATATTAAACTAAACTAATGTGCATTACTATAAACTACCATTTATTTGTAGATAAAAAACCTAGCATTTATTTTATTTCTAAGAATTATTTATTATCACTTATGGTTTTATTTAAAACTCGATACCTTAATCTGTCATTTTAATATCAGATACTCCTTGGTACCTTTTAACAATTTTAAAATATCTAAAAAAAAAAGGTCCTGGCTGCTTCCAACTTTTGTTTGTTACTATCATAGATGTTAGCAGATAGTATTACCTATTATTAATTTTATCTTTTGGATACATTATAAATAATTTTAAAGTAGCTCTTTTTATTATTTCCACTTTTAGTATTTTCGTCTTGATTTAATTATTTTGTTTATTACTTTGCAGATTCTACTCTAATAGAGTTATAAAATTATTTTACTTCTTCCATGTATTCAACTTCTGTACATATTAGTATTCGTTTATTGGTTTTTCTTAATAAATATAGTATATGTATTGCATTACATATCACGTTATTGTTTTACATTTTCAAATTTAGAATATACAATTGACCTAGTTTATTCTAGTCTGTATTGACCTAGTCGGTTTTTATGTTAATTTTATCGCAAAACCGTTTAATATTCACTGAATTAATAAATTCATTTATTATGTTGATAGTTTATCTTTTTTTTTAAGTAACTATGAATATTATATTTCGGTCATCAGTCTTAAAATATTTTATATACCCTATTATTTTATAGGGTGGTAATATTTGATTATTTCCTAATGTTTGTTTTACCGCGTGATATATTCCGTTTATAAAATTATATTGTTTTGCTAGATTTATATTTTGAAAACTGTGGACACTCAAATGTTACGACAGAATAATTATTTTGATTTATTATTATAATCACATCAGTGCAATTTTACTATGTTATGTCGTCTAAATAAACTAATATTGTATTTCTATTATTCCTGAAAAAACATTATTGGTTAAGCTTCGAGATTTGGTAAATTATGTATTGTTTACACTCTCAAATGCAGTACGTTAAAAATATCAAGATTGGTTGAGGAGTCTAAAAGTCTCTCGTGGTGATTCGGCTAATTTTATAAAATACCCATGCTAAATTGACAATTTTGAGTTATCGATATTGTCCTTATTAATCCAATATTTTGGTTATACTTGAAAGTGATTGTATTTCATATTGTATATTACTCCATTGAGTGCTCTATAAATTTATGACAGGCCCAAACTTTTACTAATCACTGATATCAAATCGGTTGGCTACTAAAAATAAAGAAGTATTTCCAGAACTCATGATTGCTTTATTTATTTTATCGTCTTTTTTCACCTCGTAAAATTATTTCCTCTAATTGAAATTTTATTAATGTGGTAATCTTTAAGGTCTTTTATATTTTATCGTTAAATAATACCGCCTTTTATCTATGCTCCTGGTGATACGCTTGTTTTTGACAGTATTCCTCGAAAATAATATTCTACGAATATCCTATGCTTTTTGGTATTACATGTACATCTTTCAAATACGTATATCATAGTATTTCGCCAGCCATTTTGTAATTTATTTTTCTACATATTTTCGAACTCATGTGTTACCTAAATAGAAATTCCCAAAAGAAACCTTTCAATTGGCGTATTATTTTATCCATCAAGTTCTGTGTATTCCGCTATTTACACTATTGTGTACGTGGTTCATAACAAGATTATAATTTATTATTAATTTATCATATATCTTAGAAAGATCTAAGTAGTTTATTACTTATTTTTTTTCCCAGTATTTCCGAACAATAAACACTCGGGTATCAGTGGTCTATATCGAAACGTGGCAAGGAGCCAACCAGGCACTGATTGATAAAAATAAAGAAATCAGCACCGCATTGCTCAATTTTAATGAATACTCGTCACATGCACTGTTCAATATTGGTAAAGACACTGCTCAACTACTAACGTGAGTATATTATATTTATTGAAAAAATATAATTGAAAACTTAATACATATGTTATATATATATATATATATATATATTCGTTCAGTTAATATCAACATTAAAAAAGTACAGGTTCATTAATACTAACATCCTTCAAAACTACAGTTTTTTACAATAGAAAAAAAAATATCTCGATGATACACAAGAACAAAATTCGATATCACACTGCTTTCTATTGCTATAGTTTTGATTTCTATAAACCATAATTTTTTTCTTATTTAAAACCGAAATATTTAATTCTAGTACAAAATAAAAAATACATATTTTATTTAATATCAGGTTGTGGGCTACGGCAAAGGCAATCTTTATACCGTCAAAACCTAAGCTGTCTACAATTTGGTTTTATCTGTTCACACTTTTTGTAAAACCTCTCTTTCGATTTTCTTTTCCTGTTCCCATCAATCAAAACCGGCGTCCACCGGAACCACCCTTCCACACACTACTTGAATTCTGTCCCGCGACACTCATCCATCACTAAATGAAACGTACTATTATCACTGAAAACGTGTCCTTCGTTGAATCCATACTTCACATTTGAAATTGTTTTCCCTTCATATATTATCTTCATCAAAATATACAAAACATTTCATCCCCATGTATTTCATTCCAAGAGCATTCTCCAAACATGTCGAACAAATTTTATTTCTTTTACTATTCACCAAGCACTGATTACAAAAATAAAAACACGTCAATAAAGTATTATAAAAATCTTTATTTTTTATAATTTTATACAATATTAATGAAAATAAAAGGATAAAAATGAGATGGTAAAATTATAAAATTATTATAAAATGTAAACATTAATATTTAATATTATAAATGAGCATAACACGTACGTTTTCAAAATATAATTTCTGACGATATGATGTTATTACTGTGGTTAATACTAAAATACATAATTCCCAAATAAACAAAATATGCATTCCTAAAGTTTTCACTAAATTCAGGGTGGTATATAATTTTCACAGTGGGTACTATTTTCTAATAGTAACATTTTTAATAATTTCTGAAATTCTTTCATAGAATTGTAAAACTGTTTTTCACAACTCTAGCAATTTAGAGAAAAATTATTGATTTTGAATTTATAGAGTGTTTCATATAATAAGCATGTACTCAATATACTTTCTTCGTATGGAGAATTTACTTAAAAAAGTCATGTTTTCTCCAAATATTACACCAAATCAATAATTAAAAAATAATTAAAATAGCTTTTTAAGGTTTATATGCAACTAATAATTATATTGTAAAATTAAGTTTATGCATTAATGCATATTTTATTCTGTAAATTAATTTTATTAAATTGTTCACCTAATCAAAATAATCAATTTGGAAATTTCTTGAAATATGTTACCATTTAAATCCATCGTAACATTTTTTATTTTTTTTTTTTAAATAAACATCTTTACATCAATTAAATGTGTTCTGACTTAAAAGTTTCAGTAGTAGGTATTTTTATTTTTATACTAAAATAAAGAGTGTTTTGTGTAAAGTAAAATATTTAAAAGTTCAAGGTAATTTATAAACAACACATAATTTAATATTGCTAAAAATATGAATAAACACTAAATTTTTATTCTGTATTTATGTTATCAGGTAACAACAGTTTTTAAATAAATGTTGATAATATTTCTATTTTATTAAAATTTTTTCCCTCTGAAATAGCCACAATTTGGTTCAAAATATTTTGAAGAATATTAACATACAATCATCGAATAAAATTAATTCGTAAAAATATATTATTATATATAGTATTCGTATAAATAAGTAAAAAATTGAAAAACATACATTTTTCATCAAATCATTTCTCTTTATATGTATTATAATTCAAAAATATACAATTAAAATATATATAATTATTTTGAACATAAAATGTGCTTAACACAATGTAATAAATAATAAAAATAAAATATAGGCACATCCATTAGAACAAAAATAAATATTTTACACAAATATTACATTTTAAACTTATTAGAAATTACATAAAAACAAATAATATAACCAAAATGTTAATTGAAAAGATTGGTTGAAATTAATTAAATCAAATAATCATCTGGTATACATTTTTGGAATATATCAACTTATATACACCCACTTTTTTATGTCTCAAATAGTTTATTTTCATAAAACAGTTTCCTTAAACGTATCAACGCTCAGACGAGTGATCATTTTCGAAATATTTAACTAACCTGGTATCGTGTTTTTTTTCTGCGATTAATTTCATATTCTCTCATGAATATTTTCACGAAAAAAAAAAACATAAATAAAAAATGTATTTTACAATTTTTTCAGTGGAGAATATTTTGTGGGTGGCGAAACCGGGATGGCTATTCACGGAACAGCATGCACCGCAAAATCTGTGGGCATCAGTGTGGACGTCAATGCGTACGAACCGCACATTATAGCAGGTTCGATGGCTCACATGATCGGACACAACGTGGGAATGGGTCATGACGACAAAAGTACGTAATTTCTTTAATTCATCGGTCTATTTAGATGCTCATTTGCAGGGGAAGAAATGTAAGCTTGTTGAGTTGTTTAATATTTAATGGGGTCACAATAAATCCCAGAGTTGCCCCCCGAGAGGGCCATTCGGTTGGGATATAATAGTAGCCTCAAGAGGGTTTATAGGATTTCTAGAATAACCTTATTCTCTGATTCGAGCCCAACCGTGTAATAATACTAATAAGTACGATGATTACGCTTAACGAGCACACGGTACTTAACAGCAGTGGTTAGGTCAGAAAACGACCCTACCAACAGAGTTCAAGGTTTTTAATTAATTGTACAATAAATATATGTATATATGTGTGCACATAAAAAAAGCTTTAAAATTAAATCACAACCACGAGGCGAAAAGAGTGCAATAATTAAAAACCTCTAACGTTATCGTGCGGCTGCTTGTAATGTTGGTCACATTTACATTATACTCGTATATATAACATTTAATATTTAAACATATTTCACTATACTGAAAAATATCTGCGACTTTGTATCATGTGATGTAATTTGGTTTGAAACGTGATATTTTGAAAAACATTAATAATTCAGAATTCTGTTTACTTATAATTTCAGAACAAAAATCAATGAATCCTGATTTAATTGTGTACATTGCATTTTCTTTGTTCCTACCAATTAACCAAAACACTATTTTAGATGTCAAAAATAAAACTAAATATTTCTTGAAATAAATATGTAGCATAATATTAGGTGGAACCCGATTGAGTACGATTGATCTTTTTCGTAACCCGATTGAGTACGGTTGCAATCAAACAATCATCATCATCATCATCATAATCATAACTGGCGTTTATAACTCTATTAGAGTTTTTGCCGCCAGCACTATGTTCCTCCATTTCTCTCGATATTGTATAATTTCCTTCCATTCTTTTACTCCAATAGTTTTAAGATCCTCTTCTATTAAGTCAAGCCATCTCTTCCTTGGTCTGTCTCGAGGTCTCTTCCCTTCTGGTTGCCATTCTATCGCTGCTTTAATGGTTTCTTCTTCGCTTCTTCTCATTATGTGCCCAAACCTCTGTAATCTTTGTCCTTTTATGTAGCTAGTGACTGGTACTAGGCCCAGTTCTTCCTGTATTTCCTTATTGAACTTTCTTCTCCACTCATTTGTTCTTGCGTCGCGAACTGGTTCACATATCCTTCTCCATATTTTGTTTTCGAAGGTTCTAAGTCTTCTTTTCGTCACGCTTTTTGTTGTCCATACTTTACACCCATAAGTGAGAGTAGGCCTTATTATTTCCGTGTATAACCTTAATTTTGTCTTCTTAGAAAGCGCTTTAGACTTAAAGAATTTTGATAGTGCAAAAGAGGCTCTTTCTGCCTTTGCAATCAAACAATAGGAACCAAAAAAAAAGAACCCAAAAACCACATGATTGAGCACGAAAATGGGTGCGACGTTGCCGCTTTGTACCGTAGAATATTTCAATAATTCACCATTTTTTCTAATCCCATTAAACCTATATTTGAAAGCTCCTCTTTGCCTCTCTCTGATAAAATAATTTTTATTTCATTATTTTCCATTTCAATTTGCAAAATACACGTTATTTAGGAATACAACTCAAGGACACGAGACAACAGAAGAGACTAGTTATTATTTACAGCGTAGGTACATAAAATAATAGTGCAATCGTTGTAGATAAAATTCTGGTTTCTTATCTATCAAAGTTATTTTAAATTGCCGTTGTACCCATCAATCGAAAGTGAAATTTTTTTCGACTAATAATTAGTTTAGTAATCTATAATACATACTAGTAAAAATCTGACAACGTTGTATGCAATATTTTTTTTTTTACCGTGCTCAATCGGGTCGTCAAAAAGATCGGCCGATAACGACCTTCTCAATCGGGTATCACGGATAATATTATAAATTATATTGTTTTGTGTGTCATAATTTATTTTTATTATCTATATAAATATTACTTGATCTATATTATTTTAATTGGTTTATAAAAATGCAAATTATCTATGATATACATTTATTTATATATTTTACTTACATATTACATACGAATACGTAATACACAACATAATACAGACTCCAAAGTTTAAGTATAGAAATATTGTAAATCAATACGTCTGGATTAGTCTTTTTTAGATCGCATCTGAAATTAAATTTTTAAACACATATATATATATATATATATGTATATGCTATTTTGCATTCCAGTTAATCTTTTGGCGCGATTCTCGTATCTTTAACTATATACAAAATTCACCACAAAGTCATTTTGTATCAAACTAACTGTATTGTTCAATACAAAATGACTTGGAATCAGTAAATCCAATTTTAATCGAACATTAAACTCACATAAATGTTTGTTGATAGAACTTCTTTTACGTATATATTATTCTATATTATTATTAATCGACAGTTGATATTCCGAAAATTAGGATTCAACTTAATACAGTGTTTACAATAAAAGTAATCAACTATTTTAATATTATTTTATTTGATTCTTGAGACATATTTAAGTGATAAATGGCTTTCGTTTTTTAATTTATTTTTAATTAACCACATCAACACTTAATGAAAAATCTGACAAAGGAAATTGATGACTTCGGTACCACGTTTTTGCCTTATTTTATGCAACACCAATAAGTATATAATGCTGGAAGTTTATACATTCTTACTCTTTTATAAAAAATTTAAAACTATATTATCAAATATGAATATTGGATATTTGAAAACAAAAATTACTTAATTATTTTAAGTCAGTAGTTTTTATTACAAAAAAAAAATAAAAATAAAATACAATTCAATGGACGTGTAACGTAATTAAAATTGTTGAAACATTGATTACTTATAATAAGTTATAGATGTTCTATATGATTGAAAGTTTCTTTGGTATCAATAATAATATTTATTCTAGTGCTTTCGATTGATTAAAAATATTAGCCTGATAGAAAATTATCATCCTGCAGAAATAGTATTTAATTTGAATTGTGATGAATAAAAATTATATTACAATATTATCATGTTTCAGGAGAAGAGTGTTACTGTCGTGATTGGCACGGTTGTATTATGCAACAATCCATTGTTGGAATGGAGAACATCCAACCGTATAAATTCAGCGACTGCAGCCTTAACGATTATATAGAAGAGTTCCGAGACACTCGAAACATGTGCTTGCTCAATAAACCAAACGAGGTAAATTTCCATTGCAATATTTAACAAGAACACCTGTAGAAAAATACCGCGGAATACGATCTAGTCTGATGACGGATATTTTATGATTTTTCATATCATTATACACATAGTTTTGTATCGCTACATTTATTATTGAAAGAAAATGTAAATTTTTTTATAGGTTCCCAGTTCGCAACAAAAATGCGGTAACAACATTGTAGAAGATAATGAAGAATGTGATTGCGGTGGATTTGATAACTGTCAAAAGAATGATCCGTGTTGCGACCCAATCACGTGCAAACTAGTTAAAGAGGCAGAATGTTCGGCGTCCGGAACTTGCTGTAAAAATTGCAAGGTAAATTACACTTGCACAAATAACTACACATTTATTTGTAAGCAATGAGCGCATTTTACCACACGAATAAACGTTTTATATTAAATAAAATATTAGAGATAAGGAAATTCGAACAATGCGTGCGTAGTAACAATTATTATTATCGTACAGTAATTATACCCTACGTACGTATTAAAAAATTGAGTTAAACGCAGAACGAAAACAACAATCTCAGTCCAATCTTTTTTATGTATTTTCATTTTTTTTTTTTTTTTTTTATTAGAAATTTAAACAGGATATGCCCAATATAATACATAATATTGATCGTATAGGTATGAATTGTACGACATAAGTGCAGTACACGGATTATATGCTTATGAAATGTTTGAAGTTAAAGCAAGAATAAACAATGCGGCGTGGGTGATTATTTAACGGAGCTCCTATGCGGATCCGTTACGAATTGATTTTCATGACTCCATTTTTGTTTATTGTAAGAGTCAAATATTTTGACGATCGGGGATAATTTATTTCAAACACAAATTATATATCGATACAAAAATAATCAAACTTAGAACCTCAATAAAGCGTATTACATTGGTCTTAACCGGTAAAACATTTGTAAAGTTATTAAACCCATTACAATACAATTTAGATCGTAAGATAGAACTGATCTCAAATGTTTCGACTGTCGTTCTACAGTTGATCGTAGTTACTTAAAAATAATTGTTGTTTACGTAAATTGTTTAAACTTTAAGTTTGGTGAGATAACACTAATCGCTTATAATCCATAGATGTTCTCATTTTGCTTTCTTTTTTTTATAGTTTATCCTTTCGTGATTAGTATAAATCAAAAACAAAATATTGTAATGTAATGAGTTGAATAATATAAGAATACACACATATCATGTTATCTTTCACAGTTGTACAAATGCACCGTACATGTGATGGTACACTGTCTGTCACCCAGAGGTGAACATTAGATGGAGAATGCTGTGGAGACACTAAAGCACTCCAATGTATTGACCTAAATATTTTTAATTTTTCCGGAGTTCGCGTCTGTGCATACATTATAAATATTATATATATATATATATTAGTCAAACAATGGTATCTCATCGAACCAATTACTGTATACATTTTTCTAAACATTATCTAATTTGGTAAAAAAATCTTATACGATTTAAAGTCACACAATCTATATACTTACGTTTGTATTTTGTAAATGCGTGACAATATAGGGTCGGCATATTTACATGAATGGATTTCGTAACAGACCTTCTATAAATTACTATTAGGGTATCCGCTTTAAACTCATTACACTGGTAAAAACATTATAACCAGTCGGCCGTACAAGTTATATCTAATCTGAGCCTGATCACCGGTAGTTTATTTGTGCAGATGTTAACGGCCGGAGGAGTTGACGCTCCTTGTTGTCAAAACTTGCAATGTTGGTGACCGCGGTTACAAATACGTTCTATGACTGACAAACCACTATACGCTATTCGGTTTTTCACCGTTGACACTTTTCGATACTTTATACCATAATATTGAAAAATATCAATATTACATTATTATGTTCATCCCGCCATTGCTTTTACTAGAACCATACGCAACAAAAACTACGCGTAATTTTAACTTAGTATTTTTATTGGCCAGCTAAACCGATTTTTTCACAGCAGGTATTTGGGTGAACAGATCAATGTTTGTAATCAGTTTAGGATATGTTTGCGCTATAAAAATGGGTTGATGAATCGGTGTTAAGTAAAATATGTTTACAGCTCGCACTTGAAAATTTGATTAGTTTGTTCTGTTTTTGAATTGATATCAAGAAAACCGGATGGAACTTAATCACTTGTGTTCGTGCTAGTTATGGTAAAAAAAAATTAGTTAAAACCTAGTGACAGAACGTACGGCGAACGAACGATTAGAGAACAATGGGTTAACCGGTATACAACCGATATCTTACGTTTAATATTTGAAAAACTATCGAAAAATCCGACACTACCAGGTTCTCTCTATCATCTACCGGTTGATGTAGTTCGATCGCTGGTGGGCGTATTTAGACTAAATTCTAGGGGGGAACTCAAATTTTTTCTTTAATTCAGGCTCAAAATGCACAAGTAAAATTTTTGGTAATATTTAAATCAGGTGAATCCTTAATATTTGTGGTTTTTTAATCTAATGCCGTATCCACTTAAATCGACTTTTGTTTAATTTTTTTTAACACCTGTCTGTGTTTTAAAAGTAACGCTTGTGTTTTATTTGATTTTTCATTAAATATGGACCTGACAAAAAGCCCAATTCAGTATTCATAGCCGCGCTTAATTTAATTTCGTTATAAAATGATCCAAATTAAAAAAATTTGAAATGAGTATCTCACATAAAATCAATTCGTTAATTACGGATTCAGGGGGGGGGGGGTCGATCATCCCTTCGCCCCTCCTAAAATACGCCCATGGGTGGACGCTCGACCAACAAGGCACTAACCAGGACATGTTTGTTGTACGTCTCTATAACCGGGTCATGGATCGTTTTGCAGTTCCTGGCGATCGGTACGCTGTGCAGGGCGGCCAACAACGAATGCGACCTGCCGGAGCAGTGCACGGGCGACACGGGCCAATGTCCCGCGGACATGTACAAGAAGAACGGCAGCCCGTGTGGCATGGACAACAGTCATAGCTGTTACATGGGCGAGTGTCCCACGCTCAACGACCAGTGCGAGCAGATCTGGGGATACGGTGAGTTGTCGACGTTATCCGTGCGCGTCGGCCAAAATGTCGAATTTTTCAAACGTTGAAATAACGGTTAAAAAATAAAAAAGTAATACAGTAAGAACCGATTAGTTGTCGCAGATTGATTCGTAAACATATCACACTTAACTCCGAGATTTCTCGCCACCTTCCGATGAATTTATTATATTTAAATCGTTTTCATTTTATTAGTAAAATTAATCATCTTCTCGATTTTTAAACAAACGATAAGATCCTCTGATTTTTTTATCGTTTTAATTGAGCGAAAAAAAATTAAAACCCAATGTTGCAATCACGAATATCACACATGAAAACAGACCGATTACAGATCGCGGCACCGTCTATTGTGTTTGTATGGCACATAAAGTTGTGACAAAAACATCGTCCAATCAAGATACTGTATCTACCCGGGAATACTAAGCGCGTTTATTTTTCAGTTTATCGTTAAGATAAATTATGAGTTAGGATAAGATTATTTACTGTACTCCAACAGTCCGACGCTTAATTATCATGACACAGTTGTATACAGAATGCTAACAAAAACTCGTATTTAATTTGTTTAACGTTAACTGGATGGATTTGATGTTCCGTGTTAGTGCACGAAAAACAACATATTAGCCAAAAGCCAATGTCACCAGTAACGTATATATATACGTCATATGCGCTTTTTCATTCAAATTTTTTCCCACCGCGCTAAGACGTCGCCGGTTTTGTCGTCCGCAGTCGGTTCTCGTCGCGCCAGCTATTACAACGATATAACAAAGATACGTGACGGGTGCGCTCGTAATAGGACGTACGCGCACGTCAAAAGTTCACCGAAAACGACTGGTTGATGAAAGTAGAATTAATGTTATATCAAGAGCCCTTATACCTTTCCTCGTACCTTTTCAGCAGCTCCTGTCGCTATGTCGTACTATAAGTGTTGACAGATGTTTTCAACCTCAACGTCCAACGTCGCGGTAAAGAGAATTGCACATTTTTCCGCGCGCACTAAACACCGACAATCGCGTACCGTCGCGTAATGCAGCATATTTACCATGCAAAATATCCATATCCAACGATTTCGATAATGAGATATTTATCTACAGTTCTACGGTTAACTTAAAATTTAAACTTAAAACAAAAAATTATACCACTTTCCTCCGCATACTTGCGGTCGAGAACTACCTATGTGTTGGACTGCAGAGATTTCAACAGATCCAACAAAAAGCTAAACGATATCAGAACCGCGACGAGGTACGTTCTCTCGTACCTATTTCAAAATCTTATCGTAGTAAATACTGTGTGTGGTGAGTACAGTTTATACGATTTGAAAGTCGATTAGCAATCGATTTTATGCAAAATGGGTATTGACAAAATCTCAAAAAATTCGTATTGCGTACATTTATATGAACATTATACATGTACTTAAAAATAACCGTTATTAAATCAATGTAGAAATACTGGAATTTACATCTTACGTAGATAAAACCTAAAACTGCAATATTACACCTACGCACGTCTTACGTACTCATCATATCATAATTAGCATAACGTAGATTATAATCTAAAGTTTATTATGTTTTGGCTCTGCAAAGAGGTAGTAAATTATATTTTTTGTCAAGCTCAGCCAATAAATAGAGTATAACGATGACCAACACTTTAAGTTATAACCGTAACTTCAGTCTTTTTCCGTAAACATGTACGTTTAAAAGTCAAACGGTCTCATATTTTAGAGTAGGAATATTATGCATTAAATAATTGTCATAGTACATTTTCGTGTCATAGGTATACGAAGCCTCATTATATGATAACCGATCAAAGCAAACGTACATTACGCACATTTATTAAATACAACCCGGCCAATACCCATTTATAACCATTCGATTTATTTATAATTTTAAACAATGCATTCGACAAAAGAACCGAATGATTATTGTTCACATGATTTCTCAACAGAAATAGGCTATGAATTAATAATTAATTGCTGAAACAACATCCAATAATAATAATACGCTTTTGGTTTAGGCGGTATGTCATCGGACAGACAATGTTACGATGAATTCAACACGAAGGGATCAATGAGCGGACATTGCGGCATGGTAGTCGACGAGTCCGGAATCACCACGTACTTAAAATGTGATCAAAAGTGAGTTTTTTGCAAATAATTATTACATGTAGCGCATTATAAGCATATTACTCGAATATCATTTCTAATGAACATCATCATTCCGTTACCAAATTTCTTTAACATTAAATTATATTATTTTATTTTATTTTTTGCCTTAAAGGAACGTATATTGTGGATCATTGCAATGTCAAAAAGGTACTAAATATCCACAAAACGCGTCAGCGCCTAGGCATACGAAAACGGTGATTTCGATCAACTCAAAGGACTACGAGTGCAAGTAAGGCGAATTATTTGTCAACGCATATGTCAACGCTTAATATAATAGTTACAGCAGTACCTACAGTAAAATTTATTGCCACGAGTAACGTTTATGTTAACACATTAAACGTGTAAAGATAAAAGGAATTGCTACAGAATCTTAACCACAAACCGTCATCTTATTATCTTCAAGTTTCCCCAAAAGTAGAGTTTGTTAAGAAAAGGAAAGAGCCTACAAGTTATATCTCGTATAGTAGTCATCTAAAAAACTAACGACTTTGTGAAGCAATTCAAACCAAAACCTTTTTACTTTTGAAAAATACTTCTGCAGTGTTCATACTTGAATATATAATTGTGCTTAAATAATTTCCCTCGTTCTTGTGTTTTCGTATTTCTTTACAAAACTGTAGTCAAATATAGTTTGGGTTATAGTAACACAAGTTCCAATTGTACTACATATACGAGTAAACTATTCAAAATATAGTGGTGTATAAGTTATAACTTATAGTAGGTTAGTAGGTAGTTAATTTAAGAGTTTATAAAGTTTATAATTTATGTAATGGTAATTAAAACTTTATTAAAGACTTAAAACGTATATGCATTGTACTAAAAGTAATATAATATAGAATTAAAGGTAAAAATATCCAGCTGTAAAATAAATAGTTATGTTTTAGTAAAATATTAAACTATAATCTTGAGTCTTTAGACGAGTTATAACTATAATTAATTAATACGTCAAAATTAGTTTTATACTTAAACATAATGTAATAGAGCCAATTTACATTATAGACTAACATGACCTAACACTAATAAAATAGTTTAATTATATTTATTATTTTATAATCCCAAAAATACATTTAATTCTTCGATAAATTAATATTAAATTTTTAAATTAAAATTATAACTCGATTGTTATACAATAAGTGTTGAAAAAAGTATCTGTTGAAAATGTAAATGAAAAAATAAACTGGTATTATTGTTTGATTTAGGTCCACGAGTGGTTCCAAAATATTTAGCCTAGTTCAAGATGGAACTCCATGTGGTGAAAACTTAGTAAGCAAATAAATCTAAAATCATTATGAAAATGTACTTATATTGTTATAATAATAATTGTTATTCTAATAATCATTTTAGATTTGTATTAATCAAACATGCACAAGTATCAATCCATATATTGATGAACACGTTAAATGTCCCAGTAATCATAATAATTTAGAATGCTCTTCACACGGGGTAAGTGTGGATTTTTACAACGAACATTTATCTATGGTTGTTTAAGTACGTATTAATAAATATGTTCTACCCACAGATTTGCTCAAATTTAAACCAGTGTTTCTGTGATAATGGCTGGACAGGAAATGACTGTTCTATCCAATTAGAAATTTCGCCTACTTCCCAAAATTCCGCGGATGTGACACTATCACCCGAGGATGCCAAAAAAGCTAAAAATGATTTAGAAAGCAAAATGATTATGAAAGAAACGCCATACGGTATGATAAAAGTATTTTATACTATTTTTCTCATAAAATATTACTCAATTTATATAACTTACGCATACTGTTCACGTACAATGTGTTATAACTACATTCCGAAACAAATAATTTATACGAATAAAATCGTATAATCTTAAAAAAAAAAATCACCGGAATCAAACGACCGATAATTGAGAACTTATTATTTTTCAGACATTCAAAGCCATTATAATTGGTTGATCATTTTATTAAGTTTTTAAATAATTTCATAATTCAACACAATAATATGTTGTCATAAAATATTGCAATCATAAGGTAATATTTTATCGGATAATAATCTATGTTTAAAATATTACAATAGTGTGAATTATTCGAACATTTAATACGAAATGTTATACATTATTCGACAATATACTTATATGGTATATATTATTGTTGTATTTTAAATCGATTTTTATAATTTTCACAATTATGTATATCACATTACGACTATATATTACGAAACACGTGTTTATTGGTTAGATAGATAGACCAGCACCTAATATGTCGTCGTAATTTTCCGTGCGAGCAAATAACAACTAATTATGTATAGAATAAAAATAATAAATGAATCCTATTATAATATGAGTAAACACGGCAAAATGAAATCATTTGGAATTTTTTCACTAGTCATTGCAAAGTAAACAAAAAAAAAAAAAATAAAAACTCAAGCATGAATTCAATCACACTATTGAAATTTAAATGCGCCTTAGTAGCGCTGTGTATCTTCAGACACGTAAAATTACGTTAGCTCATAAACATTTGGTATTCAATACGTTTGACATTTTATAGTTCAGCGGATCTCTTATAACTAGTTCATAAATTGTATACACATATTTATACTTAAATATATATATATATATATATAAATTTATATATATAAAACCAAATCGAATCATCAAATCCCTTATATTATTTAATGCTAAATGGAATATTAAATCAACCGTGGTCTATTACATTGCATTGGATTATGCATTTATATTGCATATAAATTTGCATATATTATGCATATTGCATTATTGGAGCGATAAAAATCGAATAGTATTTAACTGTAAACGTACATTTATACTCTGTGCCATGTACAATTATATAAGTGATCAATGCGCAATGTAATAGTTTAGAAAATTTCATTGAGTATTGGATAACAAGATTTTTTTATTCAAGTAGAAATCAAATATTAACTATACTTATTGTAACGATTTTTTACATTTTTTTTTTTTTTATTTCACCTTTACAATCTCTTATCCAGTGTTTTGCGCGCACGTGCACGTGCGAACACATACACACACATACATTCACACGACTAAAAGGTGTTTGTCTACATTTTCCGTCGTTGTTTTCCTGACACGTTTTCCACGAGTCTATATGTAGCACTTGAAATTGAACGATAGTTTACACGTTGCAATGAACATTATTTGCATGAGACTCAGACAATACGAATCTATAATGGTAGTGCCAGTGGGAAATGACACTGTTATATTGAAGGTGAAACAGGTGAATCCAATGAGAAGATAATAGTTGTACAGTATTTGGCTGGACTTTATTTATAATCGTTTAACATATTAATAATATTTTCAGTTTCGAACTTCCTATTGAACGTTCTATGCATGTATAAATTACACATTGCTGTCACATGGGTAAAATACTGTTTCGAAGAATATAATAAAATAATCAACCAGAAATGAATAACCTTTTAAATAATCAGCATGCTATTAAAAATAAATCTTGACCAAAAAATTAGATAAAAAAAAAAAAACTTCTTAAACTAAATCTTAAAACTTATTAATAAACTTATAATAAACTAAATTAATAAATATAAGGAGAATCAATATAATTTTTTTTTATTTGTTTGTCGTCAAAACTTTATATTTCTCTTAACAGGTGTCAAAAATGTAGGTATTATACAATATTATTATACAGCTAAGAAAATGTTTTTATTTAATATTAATTCCTTCGTTTTTACAGGAAATATTCTTAGTCATGATTGTTTTAAATTGTTTTTCAGACCTTACACTTTATTTTTCTTTAAATATTTAATTTCAAATTCTTTCCAAAACGGTGTAGAAAATATTTGATTAAAAAACTTTGGCTTTCACGATACTTGCTGGTTGTATTATAAATACAAACACATTGTGTTAAGATCTGTAAATGTATTTATAAAACAATTTTTTACTAAATATCTATAGAGAATACTTGTCTAAATATTCTGAAGTGAATTGATCTAATAATGGACTAATGGTTTATAAATTATAATTGTTCAAAATGTAAATGGATAAAGCGTAGATAATGAAGATATACAAATAGATATTAAATTAATATTCCTACCCTTGCCACCAGATTGAACTTTAAATCATAACTATTAAAAAGTCATTAGTCCGGTTTTGGGAACAGTAGTGTTTAGAAAATATATTTCTTTATAGATTTCAAGTTTATAATATCAAATTAAACATTTACAACAGCTTCAGTCAGTGGCGTGACGAACTCAAAAATTTTCCAAGGAAAGTATATTTTGTCGATACCCTCCACCCCCCCCCACAAAAAAAAACTGAGAGGTACCCGTCTCTCGATTACCCACATCGCCACGCTACTAGCTGTAGTTAATATAATAAGAACTATACATATACAAGGGAAATTAAGCTACCTATTACAACTATAACAATTGTAAAAAATATTAATATTGTAATTAAAAACTATGAACGATCTCTCAAAACGTAGTTCGTAGTTAGTTAACAAAAAAAAAAAAAAAGAAAAAGAAAAAAAAATTATTTCGACGCATGTAAATATATTTATAATGGAATTGAATGCTACGCGCTACAATTTAATTTAATTTACAGTCACAATACACATAGTTCCCTACCGCAATTTTCATTCAATTCCCTCTGCATTTCAACATTTATATAAAGGCGAACACTGGGCAAACGTTTGATCACATCGGTTTGCTTAACCATCCGCGAATCTTCTATACGACTATCCTCTATACGGTTATACTCAGCCAACGACTCTCAAACAAGGTCAGCTGTGTTCGCAGACAATCGATAAAATATTGAAATCACCCCCCCCCCTCTTCATAACACACACACATACACACACACACACACACACATCCACAATGTATACACTGTTTCAATGCAACACGCCAATCGACTGTAAATACGCGTAGGATGAAAATATAAAAACAATACAGTCTCTCCGCCCTCGTAAATGTTGAATATATATTACGAATAGGCAAAACGTGCATTGCATTTTCATATATTTTATATTTCATGCGCTCAAGTGTTATTACAGTTATAGTTACCAAACTGAGATTTACTATGTATAGATACTGTAAAAAAAAACAATTAAAAATACTCGTGTACGATATTACTGTTTTTAAGCTGTCTGAAAAATAATCATTTTAAATGACATATATTAACTCTGACTAACGCATCATACTTTCAGTCTTATCGTACTATAAGAAATAATAATTATATATTCGTATTACTAGTAATATTACTGAATCTATGTTACTTTACTTATATAAGATATTGTGAAAATAATGATTTGAAAACTTTTACGTTAAATTGACCTTTGTTTTAATTGCATTAACATAAAATAAATAATGCATTGAATATATTCAATTGGGGTATCCTTCTCTTATAATTTTATTAGAGTGTATATAATTCTAGTCTAATTTTGGTGATATCGCATTTCGATTTAATCCATTACAGCGGCTGCCTGATACTCCAATATATCGTCATCATTGCAACCATAACCTTTAACTACATTTCCTTATTCCTCCCTTTTCCCTTTCTAAATTAATTTGCATAACCCTTCTATCAAGTGAATCTAACCTCCAATAACCTTCTCCCCAGTCTAGAGAAAAGTACTCAAACCATACACATACGTCCGTACCTATTCAATCTCACTTCCTTTGTTTTGACTACGATTACTTGTAACCACTCACCATTAATTCACTTTACCCCCTCCCTGAGGAATCTCCTTTTCGGTTTAGGATTCTTAGTTTAAGAACAAACAACAAACAAACTTTGACCGATCCCAGACGTTAGTTATCGGTCTAAAGTGCCACAAAGAATACCCTGGGTCAAAGATTTGGATAAAACAGATTGGGAAACGTAACCGTTTCGGTCTAGATTTTCCCAAAAGGGATACAAACAACAATTCAATGGAGAATAATGAAAATTCAAATGAATTAAACAAAACTTTCAAGTCAAGTTATTAAGTAAATATAGTGTACGTTTATTTTAAAAAATAATTAGCAATAATTTAATGAATTTCAATATATTAAAAAACATAAAATATATTTATAATCATACCAATCCGGTAGCTAATTAATTTTTTCTATCTAATTAAGGTTCTATTCAATAAACATTTAATTATTTTTTATTACTATTACAAGTTATTATCGATTTAATCATTTTATTTGTAATCTATGTACCTTTTTTTTATATAATTATATACCTATATGATTATTTGAGACACTTCAAAATATAGTTTCTGAATCTTTATAAAAAACATAAATAATGCAATACATCTTTCATTATTTCATATAGTATAACTATTTTATTAAGAGACATTTTTTCATGCAATTTTATAATGTGATACATTTTTCAAAACTAGTTTATTCAAATATACGAACACACACTTTACATACCATAATAAAATAGAAACCCATTTTAGAAAAAGTATTTTTTTTTCTGTTAGTAATTTTCATAGTCTTTGTTGGTAACTTTTGATGTTTTATTACAAATAATTTATTATACATGGTGTCCAGGTATATGTTTTGAATAATTACATAATGAAAAAAGAAAAAAAATGATTAGTTGGTGCAGGTTGACCCGTAGATACAATAGAAATACAAAGCTTTTGGGTTTTGTACGTTTAAAATAATTGAAAAAGGTATAACTTGTCGACATAACAAAAAATCATATGATTAAAATTAAAACAAAATTTTGTAATTAAATTAAATCAACCGAAAATGTTGTGTTTATTAACATTACAATGAATATATTTTTCAATACCTAAACACTATTAAAAATACTAAATCAGAAAATTAACAAATAATTTCCAGACACCCATTCAGAACATATCAGCACATTAGGAATGGTCGTGATATTATCATTCGCAGTAAAATTCGTCTTCATAAGTTTTGCTTGCCTAGCCATTTGCTACAGGTAGCGAAATCAATAACAAAAAAAAAAAAAAATCTTACAACTTTGGACTGTTGAATTTTATTTTGTTATATTAAGTATTTAATAACTATATTATTATTTTTACACAAATAATAATTTGTTTTTGTTCGTTTGAGGTGTGCGAATTTTGTTTTTGTTTGGTTTTACGAGCACGCATCGTACTTTTTCCGAAACATTGATATATATATTTTATTGATGAAAAATATATACATATATACTTATTTATATATTTATATATAAATATAACATCATATACTTCATTAAAACTATTAGAATACGTCATGGTTTTATTTAAATTTATAACGGTGAAATGAAAAAAAAAACAAACCCGTTCAATCACTAATAATTTAAAAATTAAATGATACAAATAACAGTTTTGGGGATTTCATATTCAATATCATACAACGCTTACGTTTATTTTTTATGTTTGAATTTGTGCATTGTGGAATTCGACTTCACCTCGCCTGTACGGAACGTTACATTGCCGTTTAATAGTAAACGCTCACAGCACCAACACCGGTGTCTTGGTCATGATACTCATGACTGCTGTCGGAGTGGTGTTTATGATTTTCACATGTTCTGCTTTGTGTTATCGCCATGTGGTTGTATACAAAAAAAACCCATGTTTTTGCTTCAGGTTAGTCAAATGCTCTGACTTATACATTTTTTATAGATGAAAAAATAGAACATCATAAACCGGTCCCTTAGCACGGGTTAACCGATCATCTTTTAATAATTCCAGTAGTTTCATAAACGATTAATATTATTTAATAGACTATAGTACATTACAAATTAATAATAATAACAATAATAATAATTGTACTCTGAACGGGATAATATAGCTATGATAAATCTGTGTGTGTCTAAAATTTATCAAAATGTAAAAAAAAATACATAGAAATATCATAAAATAATTTATGAGAACCAAGCATGCAGTTTAGTTTATTCACACCCGGTTCAGGCGAGGTAAAATATAATAGTTTCATAAAATTACATACATTATTACACTTCGATGCTTGTAGTTTAGTAAGATTTATGTGCTTAGTGTATTTGATCATAATTATATTAATTCCTATTTTAGGGGATGGCTTAAGTCAAAGCCTGAATCGGTATATTATTGTAAAAATATAAAATTTTAAAATTCGTTTTGAGAAAACAAAGGCTTAAACCATTCCTATTTCTTTTTTTTTATAAACAGATAGTTAAACCAACTATTATGACTTCGTGTTCTTTTTCTTATATTTGTTTTGCTGAGTTTAAATTTTAAATTCTGAATGGAACCAAGTGAATTTAACAATAGTCTATATATTCTACGGAGAAATAAATTTTAAATTTACAGAAAAGAGAAAATTATTTCTCTGAAGCTGAAAATCAATTTTTATAAAATATTTTTTAGCTATGTTCAGAACTTTTTATCATAAAAAAATTAAACCAAAAGATTTCATATTGGTATAATATATGTGTAAAAATATTCTTAAAATACATCATCCACATAAAGGTTTGGAATTAAAATTAAATTAAAATAAAAGAAAGTTAACTATTTTTTTTTTATAATCGCCGAGTACATAATAGTTGGTAAATATTTTCTACGCATACTTACAAAAAATAAATCTTCATAATATTCATTGATATAAATAATATTACTAAGGAAAAACTTATAAACTGAATCCTTTAATATATGGTTAATATAACTAACATGGAAGAGTGCAACGGGATACACTTGCACCCCTTTGGATTAAAAAAAAAAAAAAAAATTAAAATTATTTTAAAATGTGGGATAGAGGCTTATTATCATTATCGGATTTTCTAGTAACCTGTGTTACTTTGTAGCCGTAAAAAAATACGAAAATAATATTGTATTGTCATACAATATGAAAAAATATTCCTATGTATTTAACTTTAATAATTTAAGCATTACTTAGAAATCAGCATATATATTATGCATGATGCACCCCTGACGAAATTCCTGGTGGCGCCTATGATAATTATACATCTTAGTGTTTCAATTAGGTAGTCACTTTGTTCACCCACTCACACGCATTAATACAAACTTGAATTTAATAACTGTTTGTGCAACATGTGCATGGCATAATAAACTTACATAGTGATTCAAGTCATCCGAACAGAGTTATTCCTTATATCCAAAACTACTCATCTCGTCATAAATAATATTTACTTATGCACCAACTCAAAAACAGCCTGTTTATATTGGAGCGTAACTTTGTAAAACTTCTTCGTGAAATAACAATTTCAAAAGTATTTATTTATGCTCATTGTCATTTTTATTGTCGTTCAATATCTTGTAACATAAACTTTTTATTTTAAAATAATTACATTCACCTTAACAATTCGAGTTTAAATATAAACTAGTACGACGATGAGCCTAATAGCTGTAATATATTTTTATTTGAAAACTGACCATTAATGCTAATACAAAATTAATTCCTAACCATAATTAATTCTAAGAAATTGTTAACACTTTAATGTTCAAATATTGTATCTTAGGACTTAAATTTTTTAGCAAAATTGTTAAATAATTTCAAAGTAAATTTTTGAACCGATAATGTTTTTCATAGGCGCCTGCATTTGCATTGGTATGATTTTATGGAAGATTATTTCGTAAAATACGTACGGAAAAACATAAAAAAAAATCATGTAGTTAGTTATCATAAAGTTATAGTGTTTGGTTTGAGTATACAAGTGCATGTACAGATTTGCTTAAAAGTAGTTTTGTGTTTGTTAAATTACATATACGATGTATATTTATTTATTCAACAAATGATACAATTGTATTTCTGTAAATCAAAAATAACATAGGAGGAGTAGTGAGAAGCAAGCAGCTGATAAACAAAAGCAGTCGATCAATACCACTCCCATATCAAAACCGTCCAGATTTGACGCACCTTCAGAGGAATCAGCCGAGGAAATGGCAATGGTCAACATGAACAGAATTAATAAATATGGAAATCAATCGCCATACAAGTAAATTCATTATACTTAATCTTAGAACATGCGTAATCACTCAAAATGAACATTATGACGTGATTTATTTACAAGCTTTAATATTTCTATATATTACATTTTTATGACACAAAATATTACAAATCTATTCCAGTCAAGACATAAATATTGTATAAACACAATACTTTTAATAATACGCAACCTTTTCAATAATTCTTATGTCTATTGGCTTAGATATTATATGATAAGTTAAAGAAAAATCATATAAATTGTATTTTTAGATGTTTCAAATACATTATACTGACTTGGTGAAACGAATGTATTCATACGAATTTTATTTATAGATGATATATAATAAAGCTATTAATATTTTTATGTTTTATAAATCAATATCGTACCAAATAATATATTCTCTATTTGTTTTTATTGTAGTCGTTCAGAAAATGGATCTCATAAAATGCTTTTCCATTCGACAAATCACATGTCCCCAAGCACTTCTGGTATTTCTATGTAAGTACATTACTTATATTAACATAAATACATAGGGTTTCGTTTTGTTATTAATTACTAACAAAGTGTTATTTTTTCAGGGAGCATAAACTTCACAATTTGTCTAGGTTAGGCCTATGTTCAAATGACGAAGATGATATGAATATCCAAGGCAAGTTATACTATTTCAAATAACAATTTTCTTTTTCTTTTCCTGTCACTATATTAACACTCTAGAGATTTCATTGTCATAAATTTAACTTGTCTAGCAACTATTTATAGTGTCATCAATATTATGGAAGTATTGACATTGTTCATTCGTAAGCTTCTCAAACTTTCAGTGTATTCCTATCTATTTATTCTTGTAATCTAATACCCCAGTGTATTTAAATTATACTACACATAACAATGTATACATTATTTTAAAAAGTTTCATTATTTTCAGCTTAGGGTGCTGAGACTCATTTCAAAGTGATTTTTGAACTCAAAGGATTATAATATTTGAATTATTCATTGCAGAAAATCTCCATATGAGTGGTCGTGGAAGTAGTTGTGGTATTGCTCCGGGGCCAGTAAGTATTTCTGACATGGAACGCAAAATGAAATCATTAGATGGTTATCATGGGGACTTGTTGGAAAAACTTCGAACCGCCGCCCATAGATCAGCATCCGGTGCCAGATCTAGTAGTGAAGACTTGCTATGGCGTACTCTCACCGAAACTGCTGAATCGGCGTATAATCGAATCGCAGCTAGCCAAGAAAGATTGTGTGAAGAAAGTAAGTAAAATGTCTTTTATGAAAATTATTTAATTTGATTTTATCATGAAAATTTTTTCCGAACCACAATCAGTTTAATTCGAGAATTTCAATATAACTTTTTTTTTTTTTTAGAGAGATTCTTCTCTAATAAATCTCATATAATAACTCTAATAATCTCATAAATATTATGCACGACAATTCCAACAATAATAACAATAAATTAAATTAAAATACTATATATAAAAAATATTTACTTATTTATAATTTATTAAATTATTTTAATAATATATATAAATAATAACTTATTACTTATTACCAATAAGTGTTTAAATAATGAAGCAAGCCTCATGAATAAAGGAAATAATAAGAACAATTGCAAGTTTTGAATTAGAATTTAGATTGTTGAAGATATTGAATGGACTTAAATGAGACTTTAATGAAGGACTTAAATGAATCAAATATGATATTACGTATAGTAAATAGGAAAGAACAATTAAAGACAATATGAAATAGATCACTTTCTTCTAAATTGAGTGTTCTGAGGGGAAATGATTAAGATTTACTATGTATGATTAGTTTGATGATGACTAATGCATAATCGATTAAATTTGATTATGAAGGATAAATAAGATAAGATCATTAAATCATATTTTATTAGATATAAAAGGTACAGTTTGTTTGAATCTGGAGATGAAATTTGCAAATAACTTATTCAAGTAAAGAGATCAGTGTAAAATCATAATATTAAATGATGAGGGTAAAATCGAAACTAGTAATTAAAGAGAGAGAAGGGTAATAAGTTAGCGGAAAATTTGGCCAACCTATCAGACATCTGAATAAACAAATTTAAAAATTTTATAAAAAATTTTTTCTTAATTACGAAAATAAATTATAATTTATTTAGCTTCAAAAGTAGAGATAAGTGTTGAAATTCGGATAAAAATTAAAATATCTATCAAATGTAATTCTAGGGCACGGACTACCTCAAAGTCATACGGTACTATCTGAAAGTGGAGCACCCACATGTCATCGACATCCTTATCGAAGGCCTAGTAGACGAACAGATATCGGTAAATACATTCGTTAAAGTTTTACTAATTATATATGTCGTTACATAAAATATAAAGACTACAAATAATTTTTTTTTTTATACGAAATACTAATGTTTGTATTTTAAAGGGCCAGAAGACGAAGAGGAGACGGCAAAAGAAGTAACTTCTTCTACAATTCGTATACGAAATCTTGAGGATTTGTTTAAACAAATTCAAGAGCATACGGTACGGCACAGTCCATCGGGTTCGGAAGAAAACCGAATGTCAGAAACGGAAGTCGATAGACATTACAGACACGATGCGCATCCTGGGTAAATTGTTTATTTTACGTCATCAATTATCAGAAAAACGTAAACACCGTTTAACGACATTATAATAATGTGTTCAAATTGTAACGTCCAATGGCCATAGAAGCCGCGGATATATTATATAATAAAAAATAATAATATGTTCATGCATATTGGTACAATATTTTTTATCTAATTTTATGAAATTATAAGCTACATCAAATTTTAAATAAATTCGATTTTTCCTTTCCTAAGTTGATTAGAGTAGTATCATGTGTACTAGTACGTCACGTAAATAAAAATCAGATTAAGGAAACACGTTTTACCCGTTACACTCAAGATATCATTTGTGTTTTTTCTCGCGCCCTGAAAAAATGTTTTAAACGTTTAGAAATTTGCAGTCCTTGCCCAGTCCTCTCACGAGTTTTATTTGTTCACCGCTCATCGCACAGAACCTTCACTATGTCGAAAATCACAAATGACATTCATAGAGTTAGTAAATGAATAACGAAAATCGAGTAACAACAGATTATTACCGGATCTACGACTGCTGCGGTTATAACGGCTAGGTACATCACAATTGCATGGTAATTGTTATCACTGTCGACGTTACAATTATCATCATCATTATGTATTATCATTATTATTATTATCGTTATTATAATCGTTGTTATAATCACGATTGGAACGGTTTGAGTTTTTCACGAACGCTTTTGTCGGCAGATGCGAAGAGCCTAGATTCGTAAGGGGCTGGTACCGTCCGGCGAGTAGGGCGACCAGCGGTTCCGCGTCACCGTACCAACAGGCGAGCGCCCGGCCGGCCGCGGCCACCGTCCACTCGACAACAGGTGAGGAAAGCATCTATGAATCGGCCGACCATCCGCCCTCTTGTCGGAACGCGTGTAACACCCCCGACAGCGAAAGGTACGCACCACATAAGCACCAACCCGTCACTGACATTGATTACTATAATATTGATCAATAGAATAAAATGTGTACGATATATTTACGTAACATATGTTTACAGTCGAATATCTATTATTGTTGTAACGGAATTCTCTGCGCAATAAATTTTTTTACGTAATCATGCCAGATTTTCATTAAAAAACAAAAAAAAAAAAAAAAACGTTTTTATTCAACGGTTTATTGATTTTAACTGTCATTATCTTATGATTCGTACATTAAATAATATTTCTATTCCGGAACTTTCAGAAGTACCGCGAAATTAAATTTAGGAAACGATGTTAATTATTTTCAACGACAATGATTCAACATGTTAACTAGGTTCTCATATAATATTATTCGTACGCTAAAAACGTTTTTTTTTTTTTTTTTAAGTTAAAGCATTAATTCAAAATAATAACGAAATTTCTAATACACAAACCGTTGTGTTTTCTTTAATAGACGTTTGACTGTGTAAAACGAAATTATTATAAGTGATGAATACACAAATTATATTGTTCCCGAAACGTAGAGTAGTAAAACTAAAGTAAATAAATATTATGATTATTACAATTATTTTTACGATTAGAATATATAATTTTACTAAGGATGTTTTATGTATATGTGTATATGAATGATTAAATTATATTATGACGTGTAGATGTTTGAAAACTGCGAGCGATGGTTTTTTTCTTTCCTTTTACTTTTTTATTTTTCCACTCTTCAACCACAATAACTCAAATATACCCATAGGTATATATATATAAATAAATCGGTTTTTACAGTAAATCGACTTTATCATCTCTTTTCGCGGGGTGGTAAAAAGAGGGGGAAAAAGGAAAAGAAAAAAACGGATCGTCCACAGCTGGTATATAACGTTAGAAAATATTATTTTCACGCACCGCGTTACAGTGAAACCAATTCTCTTACAACGGACACCCGAAGGGAGTAAAAAAAAAAAATAAACGAATAAAAAAAATAGTGTCTCTCCCCGAGAGTCAGCAGTGTCCACTGTATATGCCGATAAAAAATACAGTTGTTCCGGACGAGAGGTTAGAAATGCCATATATATATATTGTGTCTACATTCTAAATAATGTCCTTTCGACAGTTTTATTCACTAGTTTCTCATTAATGCTCATATCGATTATCTTCACTTGAACAAGCGTCAAAGTCACCTAAACAAATTCAAGATCTATATCACTTGAAGATTAAACAAGCGTAATGTATCTCCGGATAACTGTTTATGTTCGAAAATTATCTAGCGACATGTTTTATTTTATTTTTAAATCGGTGTTTAGTAGAGACGTTTCGAGTACCCGATAATTACCCGATAGCCAAGTACTCGATGTAGTAATTAAGACTCGGCCCTTATCCGGTACCCGACGTAACACTGAATGTTCACTCGACCTTTACTCGGTACCCGGGGTTGTACTGAAATTTTTAGTCGGCTAATACTCGGTACCCGGTTCATAATCCGTTTTCTACCCGGAAAACCTCTGGTTTTTAGTGTTATTAGGGTTTTTAAAATACAGCCAATATAATTTTAACGCGTCGTCATAATACCAACACGCGCGTTCCGTCGGTTATAGAAAAAACAAATATTTTGTCCACTTGACGATTGTGGTTCGCCGCGAATAACTGTTTTGCCCAACTGTACGTTCCACGTCCAACCACCACCGCCGCCGATAGGTGTTCGTAAGAAGAGGTTTCACTGAGCCGCGCTACGTACTTGAAGTGTGCACCCTATAAGAAGGTACTACTCCCAAGTATCACCGTATCCCGTGCACGAGACCGTGTGTTCCGTGTTTAGTTTATAAATAATATAACATTTCAACGGGCGATGAATAAAAACAATATGCATGTACTGTGATTATTAATAATTAAAATCTGTAGTTGCTATTGTCGAGTATATCTCACTCGTGAGATCGTCCGTAGCAGTAGTAGTATTATATAACGACGATCGAGCACGCGTTGAGACATTATATCGACCGCCTGATTTAGAAATGTGGTACCGTGTGCCATAAACCGATTTATAATTAGTCGTAGTTTTCCGCGGACACCTGTGACCATGTTTCGCGAACAATGAGCTAAATTGGTAACTTGTACGATAACTGTCGAAGCGAATGGGGTGAACGCTGTGGTTGGTAAAATGTGCGATAGCGCCCAACACGCGGTTCCGAAAACGGGCCCCGGTCCTCAACTTGACTCGAGTACGTACAAGTACGTCGTCCGGACACCAAGGTCGTATCTAGAAATTTTTTTGGGGTGAGGGGCGGTCCAAAACATGTATATTGTAATTTTATTGAATATAGATTTCGACTTATGATGTTTGTTTAAAAATAAGACAGAGAAAGATTTAATCTTCTTTTTATTAAAATATAATAAAATCGAATAAACCAAATTACTCTTGTCGCCTTACACTATACAAGTATGAAATATAAAATTAAGAAATAAAATTAAAAAATGCACAAATACAAATCATATCATTTCTATGTAACACGCGCGTATACACCCCAGTGATTATTATTATTAGACGCTATAATAATATTTTCATATGATATTATGATGTAAAACTAAAAAACAATCAACGATTAATCGGAGCTTAAGTCATTTTCGACTGGAAACATTTATGTTGGTATTAAAAATAAATAATTGTTTTAAACATTTTTTTAAATATTTGAGACATTTCGGGGGGGGGGGGGCACCCTGGACAACACCCAGGTTCGGCCTTGTCGGACACCCGTTACCAATCTAGTTCATCGCACTTACACGTATCGAAACGGCACCGACGGCAATGCCACGTGTCTGACGATGTTACCGACGAAAACGAATTTTTTCGAACGCGACAACAAGCGGCGTCTCGTATCGTTCGGTTTTCGGGTTGCGCTCCGTCCGTACCGCGAACCGTTTGCGTGTTCGTACGGTTTTTTTCGAAGGATACCCGTAGAGCGGTCACGTACGTGGCGTTGCCGTCGGTTCGGTCGGTACGTAACGCGTAAACTGGTCACGGACACGGTGATCACGGACGGTTAGCTCAAAGACCTAGGGGCAGTAGCTACCGACAACGTGATTGGATCGCGTGGGGGACAAAAAAAATAAAAGTAAAAAATAATCGGTTTTTGTTTTGCTTTCCGGCCGGTGCCCGTGAAGCTCATCGACCAATAGCGCGGTCGGCTAGCATGGACACGCCGGCGGTCGCGGTTATCGCCGGCGGCGGTGGCGTCCAACAGTCGGCGGCGAGCACCGCGTGCGGCGGCGGCAACAGCAGCAGCACCCGGAGCAGCCGGCGCTCGGCGCACCGCCGCCGCAACGACTCGCCGTCGACGGCCGCCAGTTGCAGCAGCAGCCACTCGCCGTCACCGCTGCGACGGTGCCGACGACGAAACGACGGCCACCACGGCACCGCTACCGCCGCCGCCGCCACCACCTCCACCGACGTTATGACCACCACCACCACCACCACCAGCAATACTACAACCAGCTCCACCACCACCACCACCACCACCACCACCACCGTCAACCACAACAACAACAACAACACGACCACCACCACCGCCTTCATCATCAACACCGGACCCTCCGCCCCGACCGTCAACAGTGCCAACACCGAACTGCTCAACAACAAACGTTTTCCCGAGTACAAACATTGACGTAACCTAACCCGTCGACGCCGCAGCCGTCGCCGACCCGTTAACAACCTCCACCTAAAACCTCCGGTCGAGTTTCGCGCCGGCTGAGGAAGAGTAGGAGGAGCGTCCTCGGCTCCCATCAAACGGTCGCCGTAATCGTTTTCTCGTAATTGTTATTTGTAATTGTATATCCGTTGGCCGAAAAGCACGCCGATAAGTTTTATTATTATTATTATTATTATTATTATGAATTTTTAATAAAAAAAAAAAAAATAATAAAAATAATGTTAATTATTTATATTTAGTTGGTATACCGTCGAATTACCGTCAAACGTTGCGACGACAATAGTACGGTGTATGTCCACGCGCGTGACCGTGTACTCCACACCGTACACCCCCCGCCACCAACAATTTCGTCTCCGAAAACATATATAATCCTACCCCGTCGTAAAATCGATTTTCGCGCTCGTATGCACTGATCCTGTAAATCCTCTTCCGCCGTCTTCCGCTTGCGCCGAGAGTTCGTCTCCTGTCGAAACAGGGGTTTTCGAACCCGGTCCAGCCCCTCCCCCCCTGCGCACCCATCCTGATGGTACGAAAACTGTTCGCGACGTACAAACAGATCGGACCATCTACCTCGACGCGTTGATGATGCTTATCGCATATTTCTATTACTACGTCGATATACCGGTCAGTACGCGTTCTCCGACTTTGTCGCGGTGTCAACAAGGTTTCGTAAGCGATTCGATTAGGCATTTGACCGTGTCGATTGCTCATTCTCACACGCGTACGCGTATCAACTTAAGAAAAAAAAAAAAAAAAAAAATGTAATTTTATTATAAATAAACATGCCGGGGTTCTTGTATGCGTTTAGCTTTTTCGCGTGTTCGCAGTACGCCTCGATAGTAGCTCGTGACGCTCGATTTACCGTTTGACAATTTTTTGCAAAAAAAAAAAAAAAGAAAAAAAAAGTACTATAAAAATAATAATAATAACAATAAAATAAAACGAAACTCGTAGCCGTCGAGCGTACAATACGATCGCAACATAAACACGTCGCCTGAAATTAACACGGATTCGCAGCATTACATCCCAATAGGATGCGCCAACAAATTATTGTAAAAAACATATGTTTTGCGTCGGGCAAACTCGCGGTACGCATAATTATTACGGGACACGTGCGGTTGCATCCTATTCTATACTCGACGGTTTTACGTCGGACATTGTTATGAAGACGCGGTTGAACGAAATCGAATACTTTTTACTCGTATTGTATTAAAATGTAACGCGTATTCGAACCAAATATTTTCCTTGCTCTTTAATTTCAATGTCTTTAAAAATACATGTAATATATGTATATTTATATGTATATATATATATATATATATAAATGTATGTATAATACTCTTTTCATAACGCATATTTCACATCACACATGCATTTCCAATAACAAATCAACGTTCAACTTTTCCTTTATACTTGTTTTTTTTATTTCAATTTTTTTTTTCCATCTCAGTTTTTCCGGTTGTTTGGTATATTTTCATTTTTGTCCTTCGTCATTTACTCGTACGCATGCCATCCTTTTTGAGAATGAAATGCCGATTTTATGGGCGACAACAGACACCAATAATGTCGTTTACAGAAATATTTTTTTTCCCCTGTTCACTACCCTACAAATGACATTTGGACTTTATTCATATTTTTCGTCGTACCCAATAACTAGATTTTTTTTTTTTTATTCAGATACCGATTTTCACCGCAACAAAGTTGCAATTGATTTTTTTTTCTCTCTTTCGTACTAATATAATTTTTGCTTACAACCTAAACTCCTCTTGAAAATCTTCGTTCGTGCCTTGCTATAATGTTCGTGAAATTACTTTTCAGTGTTTATTCAGTTCACCCTGTAATATTTATTTTCAATTAAAATGTATAGTAAGGCGCCCCTGAAACACTGCAATCCATTTATTTAATCGTTTTATAACGGTTCATAATGTTCAAATAACTTAATGGTTAACTTAGTGGATCTCATGCTCATGTGAGTAAAATATTAAAATACTTTAAACTGTGCATCAATATCAAATGATTATGAATATTATTATATTTAGATGTTCGTACAATAAATATAAAATGTATCGTTGTTATTGAATTTTTGTTTTTGTGTACATATTTTACCAGGGTTACTTTTAAATACTAATCGGATATTTAGTGCGATGATATTATTGTCTTCTATGTGTAACTATTAAATCATCTTGTATAAAGTTTCTTGGTAGTGAGCATGTAGCAGATATGTATGTCAAATTCAAGATCATAACTGCCAAATTTTGTTTTATTTTTTAAGTGTACATCTTACTAAGATAATATTATAATTTGACAATGTTATTTAATAATAAAAGTATGTCCAACTCCCTCTCTCTTATCTTTCATTTATTATACTATTTGTGTTATATTGTTTGTTTCTAATCATTCAAAGTATAATTTATTAATATCGCGATAGATATATTAAATACGTACTTACGTAGAAATAAAATAAACACAAAATTATATAATATGTATTATTATGATTAAGCAGATGGACGTCGGAACAAAAATCTAACCACTAATAATTTCAGTGGCGGATCTGTGGATGAAAAATATGAAATGTTCCCAAATATTGACTCCCTCTATGATATTTTATCTGATACGAATATGTTTAGACTTTTCAACTCATCCAGTAGCAAGCGATTCATGAAACATAAGAGTACATTTTTGAAACAAATAATATTTTTTGATTATATTTTTAAATTAATTAAAACGTAAAAAAAAAATATCCAATATGTCAAAAACTTTTTCTTTTTTTTTTTTACTTTAAGAATCGTAAATTTCATAAAAAGTGTAAATAAGTTTTGAATTTACTCCTAAAATTTACAACGAATGGAAATCAAAATACCTAAGTGTTCCTGAAACTTACCTAAATTTATCCTAAATCCGCCACTACATTAATTATTTTATTCAACACTTCTCATAAATTGCAATCTCAAAAGTTATTATTATTATTTTTTTTTTTTTTGAAAAATAAACCTAAACATCGTTAAAATATTAATTAATTAAAATTAATAAAAATTTTCATTAAAATGTTAACTAAATCGTCCTATTATGTGTTTAAATAATTACAACAGTGATTATTGTGTTCGACGTTTATAAATACAAGAAAAACATATTAATTAACTAATGACATATAGCAATATACATTTTAACTATACGATAGCAAAATTGTTCTTTTTTTATCGTATTTAATCATTCATTACAATAAACTATTGATATTCTAATAATTTGTTAAAAAATTGTCTTCACGAATAAGACAATTTTAAAATTCAATTGATGTTCTAAACAACAAATTATTGTAGACACATACACATGCAAGGATTTTCTCTCTGGCCAATTATTTAAAATGTTCGTGTTTATTATTTATTATTTAGTGTTAATTTGTACATACATACGAGTATCGTGTGTATCTATATTAAGAAAAAATAATTCTAAATTTGAGTTAACTATTATAAAGTCATGTATTTGTGTTTACTATGAACTTTGGTTACATTTGTCTGTTATTATAATTTATGTAAAACTCATTATCGAATATACCAATATGTTAATATTATGTTTAGGATGATTTATTAAAAATATCTTATTTCGATCTTAGTAAAGTTAACTTACAATACTAAATATTCATTATACGAATAACGATTTTGTTTTTCTTCGTCGAACCTGTTATAAATTTTACAACACAAATAATATGATAGTGTCCAGTTGAAGAAACGTATTATTATTATTATTATTATTATTATTATTATTATTATTATTATTA